GTTTGGAACTCAAAAAGGCCTTGTGGAACTATGAAGGCCGTTTTATGGCGGTCTTTGGGGTCAATTTCCACCTGCCAGTTACCGGATTTGAGGTTAAGGGTAGAGAACTATGCTGCGCCGCCAAAGGTATCGAGTGTGCCATCGACACGTGGGAGAGGGAACGAGTCACGGACGATGACTGCGTTCAAGCGGCGTTAGTCGATACAGAGCCGAAGGAAGCCATCTTTCTTAGGTACGATAGCGATAGGGGAAGCCCATGGCAAGGTAGATGGCTGTATAACACCGCACTAGAGGAGTTCGTCGAGGATATTGTCAACCTCGGCCCGACAATTATGGGGGATGCTCCTGGGGATTGCCGAATCGGTTTGGCGTCCCCTGTACCGATGATGTGTCGTACCAGCTGGGTATGATCCAATGTCGTTGGCGACCAGGTAAAAGACCTGCGAATGAGGTGAGTATGTCTTTTAGTTGGTAATAAGCAACTGTGCCAACTGTTGCGATTGGATGGAGAACGGACTCTAAGCTAGCGGGTTCGAGGGCGCAGGCAGCCATGAACGAGTTGTACACCAGATTAAAGTCGACGTCCGGGGTCAGTGGGGAAGTCTTAATAGACGTTGGGCCAAGGGTCATTAGCCGTTTACGAACGTGTATAACGCAATCCTGGTCAGAGAGAAAGTCGAGCCCGAGTACGAGAGGCCAAGGGCTGTCGGTGGCGACAAGCAAAGTATGGGTGACCGGGGTCTGGTCGATAACGAAGTCAATTTTAAGGCTCCCGGAAATATGGATAGCCGTCCCATTGGCAGCCCTTAAGTTTTGTGTAACCGGTAGTGGGCAAAGAAAGAGTTAGAAGAGATGTACTTACAGGGAGGATTGTGCCCACATTGGCGGGCCCGTGGACCAAACGCCGAAAAGTACTCAAAATCCTTCTTGTAGTTGGGGAAACGAGCTGGGAGTGGTCGCCGGCCGACGAGTTGGGAGGCTCCTGTAGATGAGGGAGCTGACGCTGGGTCGGGTGATCGGGGTGTAGAAAGGTCAGAGGTAGGCTTTTGCTCTTGGTCAAGGAACTAGGCAAAACGAGAGCATTGTTCGAGAGCGGTAAGGAGGTCAGGAGGACGGCCGATGACGAGATGTAGGTAAAGTGCGCGGTCGCGGAGGCCAGCTATGAAGCGATCGAGGAAAATCTCATTCAGTTCGGCAGCGGGGGAAGACGGATAAGCGCTGCAGGCTAAACGATCTAGTTCGAGGGCAAAGTCATTGGCAGACTGTTGAGGAGTCTGCCTGAGGTGGAAAAACTGTTCGCCAGCGGCGGACGCCGACAAAGGTTTTAAAAACAGTGACCGAAGGTGGTCGCATGCAGTCGAAAAAGAAGTATGGATACCAAGACCTTCTTCAAGGACCGGAGCCAGGGCCTCGGGAGAGAGAAGGGAGAGAAAATAACGGGTATGATCGTCAGGGTGGATATCAGCCAAAAAATGAAAGTCGAATGAACGAAATATCGAGGTCTTGTCCGGGTTTAAAAAGTGCGGGGGCGAAAAGGGGATCGGGACGTCGGGTGAATGGGGAAGTTGCGCGGGGGAGATGGGCTCGAGCGCGTTGGATGGGGGT